CGACTGGTCACCTCACCCTCTACCCCAGGGCCTTCACCCGACTGGTCACCTCACCCTCTGCCCCAGGGCCTTCACCCGACTGGTCACCTCACCCTCTGCCCCAGGGCCTTCGCACAGCTGCAGTGTAGGAATGTTCTTTCGCTGGCTCCTTTCCATATGGTTCCCATTCCCACATAGCCCCTCATTTATCCACATTGTTCCCCTCCATTTCCTGTCACCTCTTGATCTCTAATGTGATTGGCTCTCTACAGTAGACTAGCAGAAACTTTGCTTTACAGGAGACACACCACTATTGTGACAAGGGCTGGAGTGGAGCGAGGTGGCTCTGTGCTGATTGGGGGGGGGGGTATGGCAGATCCCAGCTGCTCCATCTAAGGAAACTTCTGATATAGAAGTGGGTCCTGTGGCCAGCTGTTGATATGTGTGCCGTCAGCGCTGTGACAGGGTGCTTGGGGTTCCTCAGATTGTATTGCCCATTGCAGAAGGACACCTGGCCCAGATTTCCCTGACTCCCATGTTGGTGGCTGTGTCCCAGCCCAGTATGGTTACCATGGTGAAAAGAGGCAGGATATCAGTTCCATATGCTTGAAGAAAAGAAAAAAAAAAGACCCAGGCAGACTGGGAGCAAGCCTCTAGCCCTTGGCTACTGTCCCCTGTATGCTAGGCAGCCCAGAGGGTCCTCCCTATCTGCACTGCACAGCCCAAGGGGCTTGGGCAGGTAGACATCCTAGCGCATGCTGCGGGTTGCCTGAGCCTTTGCATGCCTGAGCCCGGCCAGAGAGGCATTTTGTTGATTTTTGGAACAGGCCGACCTCACACTTGCTATATGGCCCATGGCACAGGCATCTGGCCCGGGGTTGTCGTCTATAGGTCACCAACTGGGTATCAGGGGACTCCAGCCTTGCTGTGTCCCTGATTATTGTAGGGCCTTTCAGTACGTGGTGTGCCGTCCCGTTGTGTGGGGGGTCGCCTGCTCTTTGGGACATGGGGGAGGGGTGAGAGCACTGAGTCCCCTGCGCGGACCCCAAGCCTCCACCAGGTCTGTGTGTGGAGGGTGTGGGAAGCGGCATCTGTTTCCAATCTGGCGTGCAGTTGGGCGGGAGCTTTGGCCCCCAGGTCCGCGCTTTACAGCCCCTAAGACCCCAGGGGAACCCAGGGTGAGGGGACCAGAGGCCTGAGCTGGTTTGGGGCTCCTGGACCATCCCCGGCCCTGCCTGCATCTGTTGCTATGGCGATGGCGCCGCTGTAAACCGGGTCTGGGGTATCAATTATGGCCATCCCCCCCCCCCCCCCCCCCCCCCACACACACACACCCCCACACTGAAGCTGGGGGGGTCACTCCGCCCCACTTCCGGCCGGTCCCGCCCCCCCTCAGGAGACGGGGCGTGTCCTACCGCGGAGCCGGGCCTCCAGGACCACGCCTCTAGACCGGCTTTGTGCCAGAAAGCCACGCCCACCAAAGTCCCGCCCCGTGGAGTCCTACAATCCACAGCCAGCCAGTCTCAACTCTATCGGCATCTCCGCCCCTGAGAGGTCTTGGGGGGGGGGCCTCCTCAGCCCCGCCCTCCTGCTTTCGCCCTCACCCTGTCACCTTGAAGCTCCGCCTCCTCCTCAGGCTGCCACTGCGAAGTCCCGCCCTCTAGCCCGGTTTTCTCGGAAGCCCCGCCTCCTGCCCCTTCCTCGGAACCTCAGGGCCCCGCCCCGCAGCCCAGGCTCCGCCCCCTGTCCATCTGCTGCTGCGCTCCCTGCGCCAAGTCTCCGCGCTGAGCTGTGCGGGTGCTGACAGACGGGCTGTGCGGCGAGCGGCCAGCCAGGACCTCGCAGTCGCGGTGAGTCGCTCGGACAGGCTGCCTTCCTGGCCGGCTTTTGTCAGGTATCCTCTAAAGAGCCTGGGGACTCCTGCGTCCCTGCGCGCCGGACCTCGGGAACACTCGGGCGCGATCGGGGACGCTCGGGCGCGATCGGAGCCGCTCGGGTCCCCTCGGTCCCGCGCGTACCCTGCCCGCGCCCCTCACTTGGCAGAACTCTGGACCGTTATGCTCCGAGGTCCCCTCCCCCACCTGGGGGTGGAGCCCGCGAGCCGCGGAGTTATCAGGAGGGGGAGGGGCGCTCGGAGCACAGAAACTTTCCCGCTCGCCCGCCCCGGGGCTGCCTGCACCCCCCTCCACCCCCCTCCCCCCCCCCCCGCTCGCGCCTCTCGAAGGTCCTGGGACTCAAAGGGGCCCGGGCCACGCCCACCGCTCACCCCACGACTTCACGCCTGGGCCTTTCCTGTCCCCAGGTCCTCAGCAGACGTACATCTCACTCTTGTCTCCTCCTGTTGCTCTGCAGTGCTGGGCTCTGTAGCCTCAGTTTCCCCTTCTAGCGCAGAGGGGTGTAATGGATTAAAGCGCCCAACGAGGTTTAGGTACGCGTAGGCGTCGGTGCGTGCGACTTTCGTTTTAATTCTTGCAAGGGGGGAGTGGGGCGAGGCTGGGAAAGTATATTTGGGACAGTGCCCCGACAGTGTTTTTGGGATTCCACCTGGGATGTCCAGGTTGGCAACCTGGAGGGACGTAGGGCTGGTGTTCGATGGGGAACGGGGAAGGGTGTGCCGCTTGCAAGAAACAGCATGTAACATCAGGACGGACTCAGGCAAGGAATGGGTCATGGTGGATGTAGGTGGGAGACACGCAGGATTCTAGAGAGGAATTGAGTCCCAGCCCTGATTGGGGGGGGGTGTCTTAGGACTTGAAGGATGTGTCGTTGGAGCTGCATGTGAGAAGGGGCATCTGGTAGAGGCTCAATGCTCTGAATCATGGGTAGTTGGGAGAGACTGCAGGCCAAGCCAGCAGCCCCAGTTGAGGTTGGTGGCAGCCAAGGAAGGTCGACTACTCCATCCTGGCCCTTTGGGCACAGGAATCCCCTCTCCGAGCCTCAGTTCCCTTGATCAGTAGGTGTGATCAGCTGTTCTCTGTAGCCGGGCTTGGCGCTCAGGCGGCTCCCACCCACTCCTGGCCTTGATGTCCACCCCTCAATAGATGGACATAGATCTGTAGTAATTAAAGCTGGCTCTGGGCTGTGGATGGGCTGAGGGACTAGTTGGTTGGAGAAGTGGTGCCCTCTGGACACTTTGCCTCCTAGTGAAGCAGGTTCTACTTAAGTCCCTCTTGGCTGACACCCCATTGATCTGGGGGGGACAACCCCACACCCTGGAGTCTCTGACCCAGGGATGGAGCATGATAGTCATGGGACTGTCCGGGGCTCCAGCTTCCGGTGTCCCCCAGGGTTTGGGAAGCCCTGTCTGGGCTCCAGGAGACGCCCCTTGTGCAGGGGACCCAGAGCCTGTGTGTTGCGCAGCCTGGGTTATAATCACCCTTTTATGTTCCTGGGCCACGTGGGCACAGAAAGCCGGCTCCATGCCCGCGTGACCTGCGGCCTGGCGCCTGCTCATTCCCTGGGGGTGCAGTGTGGAAGCCCCCAGAGGTGGCTGCCTGGTAAGACTCAGTCCAGACACCTCCCAGGCTCCAGCTGAGGCAGCCTGGAGGAGGCCTAATGCCTCCTGAGCCTCAGTTTCCCCTTCTGTAAAGCAGGTGGGACCTGCCTCTAACCAGCTTTTGAGAATGGTAGGTCATTGACTGATGGCTAGATGGATGGCCAAGGTCTCAGTTTCCCCAGTTGTGTGCACAAAGACCCTGGGACAGGATGGACCAAGTTAGGGTGACACAGTGTCCTCGTCCTCCCGCCGAAAACCCTTCAAGGGTAATGAGGTGTGATAGACTCTTGAATTTTCTATCTGCATGGGATGGTGTGTAGACTTCCTCAGTTGCTCTTTTTCTGCCTCAACCCCATGTCCCATCATGCTTCAAGCGAATGTGGGGGTGCCCTCCCATTCCCTCTGCCTGTGTCCCTTATACCCCACTCCATCGCTATGTGACACAAAGCCGGGACCCTGACAGGCCGGAGTGGTGTCACCTTGGGGACATTCCCTACACATCCTGGGCTGTGAGCTTGCTTGGCTTTTCAGTTAACCCCAGAGGCTTCCCCAGGCGTTGTCTGACTGTCCTAGGCCTAACAACTCCCGTCCTCGCTGTAGTTATGCACAGGCACCTTGAGTGAGGCTGGCATGGGCAGCCTGCCCTCAGCTGGCACGGCCCTCCTTCCTGAGTGTCTGGGGTTACAGGGTGGGTCCCAGGCGAGAGGCTGATTTGGGGCTTTATCTGTCCACCTGGTTGCCAGTAGATTGGGTCCATGGGTGTCGTGTGCAGTCTGACTGCGTGCAGAATCAGACTGGGTATAGAAGTGGGGACGTCCTCATCTTGGCAGCCTGCCTGTGAGACTCAGAGTTAGATGTATCTCTGTGTCTACCACGGCCTGACTGTGTCCAGGTCTGCCCACCACCTGACTGTGTTCCCTGGGTCTGTCTACTGTCTGACTGGCTGTGTGTATGTCTGTGTGACTGTGGTCTGACTATGTGTATACGTAGTCCCCCCCTTGCCTTGCCTTCCCCCATCATGCCCTCCTAGCTCACACTAGGCCATGAACTGGCTGCTGCAGGCGCTGCCCTCCTTCGGGGCTGGGTGAGGCAACCACAGCTGGATATTTTGGGAGACAGAATCACAGGGTCACCTGTCATTATGCGCCTCTCTCCTCCCCAAGGCCACAGCCTGGGCCCTCTTTGGGTGTGGTGGTCACACTCTCTGGCCTCTTCTTGGTCTTTCTTCCCCACTGCCTTAGCTAGAGGTAGACTGTGAACTTCAGGATGCCGGGGCACAGCTGGTCCTGGGTTCGAGGCGTGCCTGAGGGATGCTGCCCCGGGGAACTTAGGTCCTTGTGGGTGGGCTGGAGACTGGTGCCCGTGCAGGATGCTGGGTAAATGCCATGGCACCATATCTGCTGTTTCCGAGCTGAACAGTGGGGTGCTTTGATGAGCTGAGACTCACCCGGTAGGGGAGAGGCAGCAGCAGCTGTCCTGGGGGCCCTGGAAGCTGTGGCCTATCAGGGCAGGGGAGTGTGGAGGCAGGTAATGGGGCTCAGTGTGTGGGTGGAAGTACCTGCGGGGTCTTCACCTCAGCACCAGGGAACTGGTGAGCAGAAGGTAAAAGGGTCAAGAGTTCGAGGTCATTGGTTGCATAGCAAGTTGGAGGATAGCCTGAGCTACAGGAGGGCAGCCTGGGCTACAGGAGATGCAGTCTCTAGAAACCCCACATGTGGGTCCCTGGGCATGGCTCCCTCTCCCAGCACCGCCTGCGGGGAAGCCCATTCCTGACTCACTGCCACTCTGTTGTCTCCACAGTTGCTGCCCCTCTGGACACCTCAGCTCGAGGCCTCTCCGTGAGGGGCGGGGACACCGTCCCCCACCGGGGCAGAGGCCAGAGGCCACTGCCAAGCATGGCGCCCACCTGGAGTCCCAGCGTGGCGTCCGTGGTGGGTCCCGTGGGGCTCTTCCTCATACTGCTGGCCAGAGGATGCACCGCTGAAGGTAAGAGGCCCAGCTGGAGGGGGGTGGACCTGGCCACACGTCTGGTCCACGGCATGTGTGCGTGCACTTCCCACACTTGAGGAAGAGGCCTGGTGCCTAGATATGTGAACGGCTGAAGATAGCGAGGTGACGCTGGTGGCGTGGTAACAGTGAGGTGACTCTTAGTGTCCACTGCACCAGTGTCAGGTCAAGTCCAGCCAGGAGGAGCTGAGACAGGCTCTCAGGAGAGAGGGCCCAGTGGTCGGGGTTTTGTCGGTATATAAGAGTCTGCTGACATTCCAGGTGGAGCTGACTGACCATGGAAAGTCTGGAAATAAAAATTGCTGTTGGTCAGTGGTGGTGGCACACGCCTTTAATCCCAGCACTTGGGAGGGAGGCAGAGGCAGGTGGATCTCTGTGAGTTTGAGGTTAGTCCTGGCTGATTAGTGAGACCCTGTCTAAAAGAGCCAAAACAAACCCAAAAGGGAGTGGGAAGGATGGCTCAGTGGTTAGAGCACCGACTGCTCTTCAGCACCCAAATGGGCGTTCACAGTCGTCTGTGACCCCTGTTCCAGGGGCTGTGACCACCCCCTTCTGGCTTCCAAGGATGCTGCATGCGCACACACGAAATAAATCTTTTAAGGGGAAACTGGTGTGCTCCAGACAAAGTCAGGGTCACATTTTCCTTATTGTTGAGATGTATACAGAACCTCAGTTTGGGTTTGGCACCAAGATCCATCAATTCGTAGGAGACCCTTACCCAAGGGGCCTTGGAGGATAAGGGCAGGCCAAACCCCTCTCCTCATAGGAAGTAGGGAGGGGGCAGAGCTGGTGATGCAGTCGTAGAGGATGGGCACCTGGGACCCAGATAGCTGGTCCAGGAGGGCAGTGGTTCTGGACAGGAGTCCCAGCGTAGGCTTAGGTGCTTGTGTTGTGGCCAGTGGATGACAGATGCAAGCCAGGTCTGGTCCCCAAGGCTGTGCCGTCCAGAGCCCAGAACATGGTTCTGTCCAGCTGGAAGCCCTTCACCCAGAGCCTAGACTGTTACAGCCACCGTGGTTGGCGCTGAAGTGTTCGGTGGGCTCAGATGGTCAATTTCTGATATAAAAACAGCTCTGGGTCCTGGGGACCCTTCCAGGACGGGCATGGGGGAGCTGGGACAGATGTCCCTAGGTATCCCAGCCCTAGCCTTGACTCTCACATGGGCTGAAGTGGAAAAGCTGAGCCAGGCCACAGCTTTGTCAGCCTCTGTAAGATGCGACCTCCATTGTGGACTTCAGTCTCTTCTAAGGCTGGGGCTGGGGAAGCACGACCTCTTTATATAGGAGTTGTCCCAGACATGGAGCCCTGTGGGGCCAGGTTAGACCCTAACTACTCAGCATGAGCTGGGGACCGTGTGTCCCCTCTAGACCTCTGTACAAATGAGTGTAAGAATTCGGTGAGCCCATCCAGGCCCGGTGCTGAGGGGACTTAGTCCCTTAGTGAGTGTCCACCCTCGCAGGACCAAGGTGGTTTTCCTTTTTGAAAAATGGGTGTGTGCGTGCCAAGCGGAGATGGCAGGAACCAGAAAATTCTGTCTACTGCAGCGGGTGGAGCATCCTCTGCAGGGTTGGCTCAGGGCCCAGAGCCGGGTGGACCGATGGACATTTGCTCAGCACCAGGGGCCAGCGGGCAGAGGGGCAGGGACCCATGTTCTTAGAGGTCACTGTGGGGGCCACAAAAGGGAAGAGAGGTGCTGTGGAAATGTGGGCTCCCTGAGGGATCGGTAGGGGGCAGCTCCACAGGACTGACTGGATTGGAAGACATGAGGGGCGTGTCCACCTCTGGGGGCCGTCCCACCCAGCTGGACTGACTCTCCCCACAGCCTTGGATGAAGTCATCTCAGGGCCTGGACCTGGTGTGGGCCGAGGGTTGTCATTTCTGAGTTCTCTAGGGAACCTTGGGAAACCCATTAGTACCCCGAAATCTGTAATGGGGACACACCACATACAGCAGCCTGGACCCTGGGGGCTTTGAGGGCCTCTTGCTGGGGGAGGGGAGGCTGGTCAGTCCCATGGCAGCCGCTTCTGTTGACAGCTTTCCATGAGGTCTGTGAGGAGGGTCATTGTGCTCCCTCTACCCCCTTCTGGTGCATGTGTGTGTGTGTGTCCCATGCCTTTACCGGTTCCCCTTTTGTTGAGTGCTTAGGTTGTGTCCCAGCTTTGTTTGGGGTTTCTGGGGAGGAGATTGCAGCTCAGCTGAGATTAACACTGTCCATCCAGTCCTGCGCTGGGCCGGGCTGCTACCAAACAGTCAATGAAAGGGAAGCCTGGCAGAGTCTTCCCCCACCTCAGATCCCCAGGCAAGCATCAGAGCTGGATTCCCAGCCTTCCTCCAAGTCCCCATGAGGCCGTCATTAGGCCTGCGCCCCCTGCTCACACCACTCTCCAGGGCTGAGTTCAAATGCTGACTTTGGTCTTTTTTTGTATTTCTATTTGGATGCCCGTTTACTTGTTAATACTGTGTGTACGTGGGCTTGCCAGGGCATGTGAGCTGGCGTTGGAGGGCTTGGTGGCAAGCGCCTGTACTGACTGGGCCACCTCACTAGCCATCGACTCTCATCTTGTGGTCACCTTGAACCCCCCCTCCCCCTGCCGGTGCCTTAGTTTCCCCACAAGTCTCATTAAAAAATTAAGGCACATTTTGTATGTTTTAGGGGCGAGTCCAGATGTAAAGGGTCTCTGGTTACCGAGGCGTCTCTAGGGGCTCAGTGTGGGAACTCCAGTCTCCAAAGGATGTGCATGTGTGAGCGTGTGGGAGGCCCTCGCCCCTCACTCCTTTGCCTCCTCCCCTCATTCAGACCTCCCCTCTCCTTGCTGAACCCCCAGAGCCACCCAGGTTTATCAAAGAGCCCAAGGACCAGATTGGTGTGTCGGGAGGCGTGGCCTCCTTCGTGTGCCAGGCCACGGGCGACCCTAAGCCACGGGTGACTTGGAACAAGAAGGGCAAGAAAGTAAACTCACAGCGCTTCGAGGTGAGCTGGGGCTGGGGTGGGGCTCACAGCTCCCGTCCTGCACCCCACTCCCCAGCACCACAGGGTTCTTTCGTCTACCACTTGGTGCTGTGTGTCCTCGGGCAGGGCCCTCCCTTCTCTGAGTCTAAACTCACACCCTGACCTGGGACATCTGCACGCATGCCCACGCCTTGTAATCAGGATGGAGTACGTGGGCCTCAGGCTCAGCGCCATCCCAGTGCTTAGTCAGTGTGGTCAGGTGTGCGTCTCTTGGCTGCTCTTCAACTGTGACTGATCCTGGGTAGCATCTTGTGTGTGCACTCGCGTGTCCCTACCCACACACATGTGACACCCTTGGCTCATAGATGCCATATGTCTGAGGTGGCTACTGTCCCTACCCCAGCAGCACAGCCTGACTGGGCTGGAACCCACCCTGGACCCACTCACTTGTCCCATTCCTTGTGTGTGTGTGTCCCCAAATGTGTGTTCCTGTCCTGTGTCCTGCCCCCCACATCCCCCACATATCCTCACCTCTACTCCCCACATGTGTCCCCCCACGTGTCCTCACCCCCATTCCCCACATGTGTCCCCCACGTGTCCTCACCCCCATTCCCCACATGTGTCCCCCCACATGTCCTCACCCCCATTCCCCACATGTGTACCCCCGTGTCCTCACCTCTACTCCCCACATGTGTACCCCATGTGTCCTCACCCCTATTCCCCACATGTGTACCCCCGTGTCCTCACCCCTGATCCCCACATGTGTGCCCCCACATCCCCCACATGTCCTCACCCCTACTCCCCGTATTTGTCCCCTCCACGTGCCCTCACACCTCACTCCCCCTAGACCATCGACTTTGACGAGAGCTCCGGAGCAGTGCTGAGGATCCAGCCGCTGCGGACACCCCGAGATGAGAACGTGTACGAGTGCGTGGCCCAGAACTCGGTGGGGGAAATCACAGTTCACGCGAAGCTGACTGTTCTCCGAGGTACCGGCCCCCAGGTGCAGGGAGGAGGAACAGACCGCAGACTTTGTTCCCAAGCCTCCTCACTGCCTGTTGCTTTAAGGACATAGGTTTCTCGGTCCCCCAACACTGCCGGCCCCGTGGTGTGTGTGGTTTAAAATGTCTGCAGTTGGTGGGCTTAGGCTCCTCACTTGCTCAGTCAGTGCTGTCTGACCTCTGCTTTCCGGCAGCCTGGGTCACAAGTGCCCTGCCGCTCAGGATCAGATGGCCATAGCTGGTCTCATGTCTGTCTGCAGCCACCAGTGGGCCAGCCCCCAAAGAAGAATGTGGCAAAGGGTGGTTCCCCAAAACCAGGACAGACACAGCGCAACAGCCTGAGCCCCAAACACCCTGTGCCCTGCTCAGTCTAAGGGACATTGAAATAAATGTTCTTTTAATACTGGCACCAGACGGCTGGGTTCAGAGCTGTGTGACCCAGGCGGGGTTAATGAACCTGCTGGGACTGGGTATCTGTTCCTTAGGGACATTGCATTTATGGCCATGAACATCAGCCCTGGGCATTGCAGGTTCCCAAGGGCTCTCTTGTGAAGCTGGAACACAGGGCCAGTTGCATTGGTGGGAGCTCTGGGCCACCTCAGGGCGCTGTGCAGTCTGGGAATTTTGTCATTTCTAACAAGGGGCCCCTCAGTACCCCAGGGCCCCTCCTCTTCCTTCTGTCTTTGGGATATTTTTTGCCTTGACACCCCCCCCCCTCCCCGCACAGACTCGGCAGCCAGCCTCCCGCTGCCCCGCCCCGTGTCAGCCTCATGGTCAACACTCCCGGAGTTGGGACTTACTCTGCATCCACTAGGCACTCCTCTCTGCGAGTCTGGAAAGATCCTCTCGCCTCCTCCAGGCACCCCAGCCACCTCCCTTTGTTCTTTGACCATCGCCTGCTCCCCACACTGAGCCCCAGGACAGACACCCCTCCCCAGCCCTAGGCAAGCTCATGTTCTGCCTCTTGCCTGCTGCGGGCTGCCAGAGCTGATGCCATTGCACCTGCTTCCCACCCCTCTGATTATGACCTGGGGTGTGTGAACCCTGAGGTGTGGGGCACAGTGTGGCATGTTGGGACACCAGGAAGCAGGGCCCCTCCCCAACTCTGCACCCTGGCCAACTGCTGCAGCGCACATATATGCACAGGACCCCTCGGGTTTGTCTGGAGCCTGCTACATCTTGGGTTGCTTTCCCTACCAGGGCAGTGGCTTTTTGACCACTTCTATCCCCAGCCACCTTCACGGTACCCACCATCCCTTCTGACGTTGTATCCCAAGCACGTGACCATTATGCTTCCCCTCCACCCACAGCACCCCAAGTGCTCCTGAGGGTCCAGGCCTTTCCTTCCAAACACCTTCAACCACAAGCCAAATGACTCCCTTTGCAAACACCGATTCTGGTGTCATGACTGGGGACATGCCACAGATGACAGGGCCACCTGCACGAGAGGCTGAGACTTGTACACTGTTAACACAACAGACAGTGTCCTGTTTGTCCGTGGGTGGCATGGGCCCCTTGCAGTATCTCATTTCCACCCTGCATCCCCCGGGAGCAGCAGGTACCCCTGGGACCGGTGGCTCCATGTTGTCTCTGCTCTCTGCTCTTCTGGTGGCCCAGGCTGGCCTCAGGGTCGTGTTGCTCTTACCTCTCCATTCTGGGTATCTGGGTGTCAAGCTGGGATTCTGCAGTTGCATTCATGTCCCAGCAAACTGGGTTTGACATTCTGGAGGAGACGTTTGGGTTCTGAGAAGTTCTGGGGGCGTCTAGAACAAATTCATTTGTTCCAGGTGATATTCGAACGGAGGCAGGGGTTGAGTTTGGGAGGAGGGGATGCAGAAACAGATGGCCCAGACCCAGCTGGGAATCTAAGGGGCCTGGGTTGGTGTCACCCCTCCATGGTCCCCAGTGTCCCCATCTAGCTGTAGACACCAGCATTGGGGCCCTCCCAGGAGCAGCGTTAGCCCAGGTTAGTCAAGGTAGAGGGGATCCTTCAAGCTCTGCCCACAGCAGCCATGGGGGTCTCGGGGGCGTGAGCCATAGAGGGTGGTGGGAAGGTGGCAGCCTGGGACCGCGGTCACCTCAGGCCCACCCTAAGGGTGTTTCCCTGCAATAACCAGACTCCTGCCCTCTTTTCCCGGTCTGCACACCCCCAGAGGACCAGCTGCCCCCTGGCTTCCCCAACATTGACATGGGCCCCCAGCTGAAAGTTGTGGAGCGCACGCGCACAGCCACCATGCTCTGTGCCGCCAGCGGGAACCCTGACCCCGAGATCACCTGGTTCAAGGACTTCCTGCCTGTGGACCCCAGTGCCAGCAATGGGCGCATCAAGCAGCTTCGATCAGGTGGGCATAGGTGGCCAATGGGATACAGGTGCCATCGAGGGTAGCAGAAGGCCCACGCCTCAGGCCTGGTGGGGGACCACTTGGTACACAGCATGGATGGCAGTGACCCGAGGTTGGAACATGGTGTATGCAGAGCTGGCCAGGAGCAGAGCTCAGGCCCAGCACCCAAACCAGAGGGCGCCACAGAGGCCCGCACTGGGAGCAGAGCTCTGCGGTGTGCATTGTGGGTGGGGACGACTGTAGCCGACGGGCAACTGCAGAGCGTCTGCCCTGCGGACAGGTAGTCAGGGTCTGCCAGTGGCATGTGGGCAGTCAGACAGTGGAGGACTCCCAGGAGTGTCCTCTGTGCGGAACGTGCCAGAAGCAAGCCGTGTGGATGATTGTCTGTCATGGTTCCTGCTGGTCTGGGGAGGCCGGAGGTGGAGGCCAGGCTTTGGGACCAGTGAGACTGGGTGGTTCACAGTGGTGTGTGTCCGTCTGGGGCACTGTTTCCTGTCTCTCGTCTGTGTCTGTGTATGCGCGGCTCCCTGAGTGGCTCACCCTGCCTCCCTCGTGTGACCAAAGTGCAGTACTGGGCTCTCTGCCACATGTGAGCCACTGGCTCAGGTGTCCCCTGTGTCCCCTGTATCTCCTGGTCTCCCCAGCCACTGGCTCATGTGTCCCCTGTGTCCCCTGTCTCCTGGTTCCCCCAGCACCCCATGCTGACTTGGTCACGCTCTTGCTCTCTCCCCCTTGCAAGGTTGCCCCTGTCCCAGGGCGTCCACTCTGCCCCCTACCCCAGTGTCCCCGAGACAGCTGCCCACTGGCAGCCACAGTGATCTGCTCACATACTGGGGGAGCCCTCGCACTCTGAGGCGCCTCCTGACCATCATGTGGCCACGGTCCAGGGTCACAATGACGCCCCATACCCTGTGTTCCCCCTCAGATGCCAGTGCCCACCTTAACCTTCTTCTCTCTCTCCTTCCTCCGTGTAACGCTCAGAGAGCTTTGGTAAGTCCTCACTTCTTTGCCACGCCAACCACTAACGGCCCTGCCACCCCTGCCCCTACACTAACAGCCACCGTGACAGTAACTGACCCACTGCGTGTGGCATGTGTACTAACGCCCTCTCCTGCCACCCCCCTGACCCCAGGCTGGGGGATCTCACACCTTGTGAGCCCTGCTCTGAGCTTTCTCCAGTGCTCCAGTTGGTGGAGCTGGGGTTTAATGCTGAAGATGCTGAGTCTAACCGGAGCATTCATTCTGAAGCAGCTGCCCGGCTAACTCTTGCTAAAGTTATAGTGACTGATAGAAGCATTCACAAGGCCCTGAGGTTTAAACCAAGTACCATCCAAATAAAGGTGGGAGAGGAAACACGGTTTCTTTTCCCTTACGGGACTGGCAGTGAGTATGTCCTGGCGCCGTATCCTGCCACTGTAATCCAAGCAAAGTTAGAGTTTCGTTATGGCCACTCCTGACTCTCACCGCAGTTGGCAAGTTCCCATTGGCTCTCACTTGGGGAGCCCCAAGGGAGTATGATGTCTCTATGGGGTATGGTTGCACCTTTAACCCCAGCACTCAGGAGGCAGAGGCAGGAGTATTGCAATGAGTTCCAGGCCAGCCAGGACTGTACGGACACTGTGTGTATATTGCGGGGAGGGGGAGCCACACAGAGCAGGGAGGGGTCAGGTACAGGTCCAGCTAAGAAGGTGTGAGAAAAGGTGTCAAGCCTACTGCCTTCTGCCAGGAGGCTGCCTGAGACCGGCACTGTCTGCCTTGGGTCTCAGTTTACCCAACCATGCAGTGGGCCTGGGCTAGCTCTTATGGCTGCGCCTGGCTTTGGCCCCAGCAAAGGAACAGCATTAGAGGCCGCATGGGCGCCCCCAGCCTGGAACTTTCTCTTCCCTGGGCGTGGCCAGCCCATAGAAGGCTTTTTCCTCTTTTCCTTTGGAGTCGAAGGAGGCCACACGGTCCACTCCACCCTCGGCTCCCTTCCCATGTCTCCCTCTCAGCCTTGGTGACACCTGACCCCACCACACCAGTGTCCAAGCCCTTGGTGCTAACTCCTGTCCCTCCCTAGTCCCTAGTCACTAACAAGACTCCTGGGATCCTGCCGCTACTCACCCCTTCCCATTTGGATTTCAAAGCAACCCCTTGCTGGAACCCCAAAGTAACTCACAGGAGGAGATGCAGTTTCCCTGGGGCTCTACCCAGACCTGGGGAGGCCACCTGCAGGAAGCGCCCGCCCTGAAGGCCCACAGCCCCAGCCTGGAGCCCTCAGAAGGCTGGCTGCGGCTCCACTGCCCGGCAAAGGGGCAGGCGTGGCTCCTGACCCCGCACCCCCTCTCCTTTGGCACTCACCTGTGTCTCTCTGTTTCCCTTACAGAAAGCACCCCCATCCGAGGTAAGAGGTCCACCCCTCACCAGCCTAGCTCCCTACCTGCCACGTCCCTCATCCATCTGGTGTTTGTGTCTCTGTGGCTTGGGCTTGAGTGTGGCTACAGGGAACAATGTAGGTGTCCAGCTGCAGGGGCAGGCGCGGCCTCCTGTGCCCCCTGAACCCCTGCTGAGCCATCTCTCTCAAAGCCATCTACCATAAACTACAAAAGCCCTTCTGAGATTTAGGGCGTTCAGCCTGGGAGAGAGTAGAGAAGGAATTCTTCAAGGACAAGTCTGATACCCCACTTTCCCGGGGCCCAGTGCTGTCCTGCTGTGCTACCTCAAACAGGTTTCCTCCCCTCTCTGGTCTCTGCAGTAGCCTTGAAGTCAGTAGGAAGCTTTCTATGGTGGCCATCCACCTAAGAGAGGGGCCATGGGGGCTTCTGGGTCCTGTCACTACTGGAGTGCCACCACCAACAGAACCAAAGATCATGAACAGGAAGTCTGGAGCAGCCGGGTTTAGGAGCCCAGGGTTTTTATGTGGCTGTCGCTCAGTCAAGCTCTGTAGGAGCCGGGATGCAGGCCTGTAATCCGGCATACTGAGCCAGGCTCCCTCGCCAGGATGCGGGCCTATAATCCGGCATACTGAGCCAGGCTCCCTCGCAGGCCTTTGGTGACAGGCATGGCTGCCTCCGCCACACTTTCTGTTTTTAATTTGTAAACGCTAAGCTGTTCACTGAGGCAGAGATTTCAAGTGTTCCAGGCTTCTCTGTGAACGGGGAATACCCAATACCCGGCTTTAGCTTGTTCGAAACATCCTTGGGGGAAACGTGGCCTCCTTCAGGGCCCTGTGGGTGTGAGTGGTTCCTCTGTATTTGAGTTTTGGTTTTCGTTGGATTTTGGGACGAGGTCTCCTGTAGCCCAGGCTGGCCCAAGAGCATGCTGATCTTCTGCCTTGGGCGTGCACCACCAGCCTGCTCAAAGGCCACCCTGGGCCTCAGGACCTGGAGTGAGACTGAGGTGTAGGGCCTTATTAAGGTCCCTAAGCTCTGCCCTGGGCTTCAGACTTGAGATCTGACCCAAGTCACTGTGCTTCTGGCCCCAGAGGTTCTTCACCCAGTGACTGTCAGCCTCCACTGACTGGCAGCTGCCCTGGGGTTGGGGGAGGGCCTGGGCTCACTGCCACCACCTGCAAGTCTGGGATGGCCTGTTGGTCCACAGGAGGCTGGAGTGGCCTCTGCCTCCTCCCATGCCCCTGGGAGTGGCACTCGGTGATGCTGTGCCCATGGAGCCATTTTAGTGGGAAGTATGGATGTGGTAGTGGGGGTGCTCGTCAGACCCGTCCCATCCGATGCTGGCCATCATGGCTGAGGTCCCATCCCTGTCCCCACAGGTGCCCTGCAGATAGAGAGCAGCGAGGAGACCGACCAGGGCAAGTACGAGTGCGTGGCCACCAACAGCGCTGGTGTACGCTACTCATCACCCGCCAACCTCTACGTGCGAGGTAGGGAACTCCGCCAGGCAGAGGCAGGGACCCACCGTCCCACCCTGTCCCATCCCACCCTGGGCTCATGGCCTCCTGGCTCCCCTGTCCTGTGCCGACCCGAGCAGGAAGGCCCTGACCTCATTCATGGGATCTTTAGAATGACAATCACTGTACTGTGGGCCTCTGGGGGTCACACTGATGGCAGGGTGGGTGGGAGCAGTGTGGGCTTGGGGGGCCACTCTCGGGCCTACAGGGCTGGGGGAGCCTGAGGGCCACTGCCCCTCCCCGCCACGTTCCCACCCCCCAAGTTGGCTTGTGTGGTGTGTGTGCCTCCTGTGTCCTGCTGGCTTTGCTTCTCTGAACCTGTGGCCTCGTGGCTCCCTGCTTCCCTGCCCCATCCAGTGTCCTCTAGCAAAATCTGTGGGGAATGGGGTTTCCGAGCTGTCCTCCTACCTGGCATCCCAGAACCCAATGCTCGCTCTATAAGAAATATATCCAGGCTGTGGGAGGCCAGGGCCACGGCTCACCCCTGTGCTTGTGGCTTGGTGGCGAGACATGCCACCTGGCCCTTGGAAACCCCATGTGGGTTTCAGAATCCCAGACTCGCTCAATTGTGGCTAGAAGCCTGGGGTCTTGGACGGCTGCCTCCCCATGCCTCCACCCCCAGGAGGCTTCCTATGGGACCCTTGGTGTGATGCCCCTTCCTCCACGTCCATGGGTACCGGGGACCCCATCTGCTTGTACCAGCTGACCTGCTCACCTTCCTCCCCCAGCCTCAGTTTCCCTGCAGCGCCCCTGGCCTTCACCCGTCTCCACCCAGGGAGGCAGGCAGGCTGCCCCTCTCCCTCCAGCCCTTGCCTTCCTCAGCCCCTAGTCAACTCCTTTGGGTCCTGGCTGTGGGTTTTCCATCTTGGCTCCAAGCAGGAGGCCGTGTGGAGGGAGGGTGTGAGTGAGTGGGAGGGGGGCCAGTCTGATCTTCCATCACCATGGCACCCGGGTGAGTTGTGGTCCACGCAGGACTCCAGCGACCGGCCTTCATCTAACTTGTGTGTGTCTTCGTAGACACTGGGGATGGGGGTTGTGAGTCTGGTAGGGTGCAGGAGAGAGGGGCCAGCAGGGGTGGAGTGGGGAGGGAGGAGCCCTTAGCTGAGGGTGTGAGGAGGGAGGAGGGCCCTGTGTGTTCCGGCCTAGCCCCTCCCTGGGGGCAGGTGAGGGTCGGGGAACGAGTCAGCAGTCAGTGCAACTGGCTGTGCTCGGCTGAGCCAAGACAGGGAGCTTTATGTTCTTTTTTCTTTTTCGATTTTAATTTTTTTAATTTTTTTGGTTTAAAGAAAAAAAAAAGCGAACGATTGCAGCGTTAGCCGTGGGAAGTCCTCTTTTTACTCTCTGTATCTCCCCTATTTTTTCTCTTCTCCCCATGTCATTGTGCGCATCAAATCCCCTTTACATCCCTCAGAGCTTCGAGAAGGTTGGTGTGGTTTTTTCTTTTTTACTTTCTTTACCCACATTTTTACATTCTGAAAAAAAAATTACTAACAGCTGACACGTGCTCACACACGCAAGAAACACATGCAGACGCTGTGCAGACACACGCACACACGCACACGGAAATGAATAGCAAAACACATAAAGTGGAATGAGGTACCAAGCCTAAAGCAAACAACCCAGAAAGACACACAGACGTAATGTCAGCCGCCAGCGCGGCCGGCACACGCGATGCTTGCATTGTGGTCGCCTCTGCATCCCTTGGTAATGTTGTTGCTAAGTTTTTTTTTTTTTTGCACTCGTCGTCATGGTAACTTGGGCCTGATGCATGCTGGGAGAATGTAAAAAAAAATTTCTCTGCATGCCACTCCTGTCATTTTGGTGGATCCTCGCCTTCTGTTGGAGTGTCTGTCTTCTGTTTGTTTTCTTGGTTTCTTTCTTTTTCTTATTTTTTTAAACTTTTTTTTGTAAGTTTTGTTTTGGGGGGATTGATTGCCCCCCTCCCGCTCTGCCTCCCCTCACCAGACGCCCTTCTCCCCAAAGCAATGTCTTTGGTTCTGTCTTGTTTTGTGCTGTTTGGTTTTGGTTTTCTTGGCCTGAGCTGTTGTGGTTGTTACCAAATGCATTGTGAGTTCAAAGCCAGTGTTCCTGTCCCAGCTGTCACTCAGAGGGCAGAAGGGGTCCCACAGCTGGGATGCTTTGACGAAAAGTGACCACTTAGGCACCACAGGACAAGGGACACGAGTAGGGGGCACTCGGGTTAACTGGTTCCTAGTTGGTGACTGGCAGGAGGGAATCCCAAGGGCATCTCCCATCCTCCTGCCTCAGCGTATTTAACATTCTGCCCTCCCAAAGAATGCAGCAGGGTGGGGACTGCCAGTGCCCGGGTTCCCACTCAGTGTCAGCCAACCTGCGAGAGAGTGGGGGCCAGAGTCTCGAGCGCTTGACAGAAAGTGCAGAGTGGCAGCCGGCGGTGGCTTCATGCATGCTGGGCTAGACCTGCCCATTGGCAGGGCGGGGAGAGGGGTGATGTGACAGACTTCGGGAGAACACCTGGCCAGTGAGCTGGTCTGCGGCGTGTGCGCCTCTGCCTCCCATGCTGTGTTAGCCACTGCTCCTTCCTCCTGGCTCTGAGGGCGACCACGGCTGTGTTGTCCCACGGGTATTGTCCCATAGCATGGTCACTTTCTGATCGCCTGAGCATCAGGGCTGTGGGATTCCCTAGAAAACCATGGTCATTTGGGGCGTGGCCTCTCCCCGCTCTCTCTCTCTCTCTCTCTCTTTCCCTCTCTCTCTCTCTCTCTCTTCCCCCCACTTCCTCCCTCTTCCTTTGTCTACCCTTCCTCTTTCTAAACTCTCTTTTTTCCTCTCTCTCTTAGCTCTCTCTTGCTCTCTCACTCCTGAGATCCACACATCCACAGTAATTAAACCCCCCATGATGCCCAGCCCACTGTCCACCTCTTTGCCCCCCTGGGACAGCTGAGGGCCAAGCCCCCTCCCCACAGGTCACCCTGTCCCTCCAGCCTCCTCTCTGCCCTTCAGGTTATTAAATCCAAAGCACTGTCAGCAAAGGTCTCTAGATGCCTCAGGAAGAGATGATGTTGCTCCTCTCAGCCTGAGCCCTGGCAAAGCAGGTCCTGGTACTCTGTACCTGGGTGACAGGGACCCCTAAGGACCCACCTGGATTGGAGGGCAGTGCCGCCCAGCCCAAGGCAGGTGCTGATGCCCACACGTGTGACCCTGACTGCTCATGTGACTTCTTAGGATTCTTGATGGCTTTCTGGCTCTAAGAGCCAATGGTGTCATGTGCCCTGGGTGGAGAAAATCCCAGGTACTCACAGAGTTGGAAGGTTGGGAGTAAGGGACTCCGGCTGTAGGCGGTCGGGTGTCTCCCACGTGTGACAGTTTAAGGGACAGTGGTCAGACTTGCCTGGCTGCGGCCTGTGGGGGCTGCCACAGAGCTCCACAGTGCAGAAGCGAATCCCAACCCTGGACCCTATGGTCTTTACTGGTGTTTTCCTGAGCCCTATCCACTGGGGGCAAGTGTCTCCTCCGGGCCAGTGATATCATTTTCCCCCTTGTGACTTTCTCTGAGGAAGTCCTGGGGCCCAAGAGGCAGAAAAGGGAGCCTGGAGAGACAAGGTCTCTGGCACAGAAGTACCCACCAGGAGAGCAGTGGCGGGCCTGCGAGGCCTGCAGAGTGCCAAGTCAGTCAGTCGGCTCCAGCCCCTTCCCTATCTGGCAGGCTCAGCTCCTGCTGAGGGAGCCAGGGCCTGCTCAGACTTTGACCCCCGGGGACTAAGCCACCAGAGCCTGTTATATATGTATAGTATATGTCAGTTTTCACATGCACGTTCCGCACCTCTCTGAGGTTTCCCTGATGGAAGACCATGCCAGGAGACAGACAGATGGCGTCATTGGAGGCTGCTCACATTTTCCTCAGTAGTAGTGTGGAGCTGTGAGCCTTTAACAGGTTCATGGTTTAACCAAAAAAGATGGTGTCTGACGGCACCCATTGGAACATAGCAATACTGAGCCATGGTGCACCCAGTTAATGATGCGTCCCCCACCTGCTGCAGAGGGAGGGACAGTCTCCCACCTACAAGAGACTCGAGGTAGTGGCCATCAGGCTACCCAGTGCTGGACAAGAATGCCCGGTCCCCTCACGAGTTCAGAGCATGGCTGGGCCTAGGTTGACCTGCTCCACTCCTGTGGCTTGGGAAAACAAGTTGGCCTTCGGTGAACTGCACCCAGGGTCTGGAGGTATGGGACCTCGGATCCCTCTCACTTGTCACATCTCCCTGCTTCTGTGGGGTCTGTTGACTGTGCACTGTACACTAGGCCCCTGACTTGATCCCGGGGAGGTGATGGTACACCATCCCCACCATCCTGTCTGTCCTGAGGGAGAGGGGTCTCAGGGCGGGGAGGCCCTAGCGGGGTCTGGGGGGCTGCAGGGGCTGTCCCACAGGAACACTGAGCACTGACTGACACGTCGCCTGCTGCCTGCCTCACCCCTGCATCTGTGTCCACTGTGGGTGGGGTCGGATGGACATTAGATTACACCTGGTCCTTGGGAGAAGCCATAATATCCCACAGCCACAGTGGCGGGTGGGGGTGGGGAAGTCAGTTGGCAAAAATATGAGGGAAACAAAGAGGTCGAGGCTGGGTGCCCCTCCCCCCAAATTGAACAACCAGAAAATGATCTGTGGCGGAGTATAGAGCCAACAGCCTGCTACAGCCACTGCTCAAACACCCAAGCCAGGGCTCTGGCCCTCTGGCCCTTCAGGTGGAAGCATCGTAGCCAATGGAGCTGGTGGCAGACAGGGAGGTGGGTCGGGAGGGGACGAAGGGGAAGCGATGGGAGATGGGCCATGAACTTGGGCCTCTGCCCCCTCCTTTCCGTGACAGGTGTAATCTAAGCTTAACTCACCCCTCCCTGGAGGCCTGCACAGTCCTTGGCACCCCTACCCCAGCTCCCATCCACACATCTATTTTGGAGTTCAGAGAACCAGCTACATTTTTCTCTCACCCCAAAATGCCCCACAGACCCCCCCCACCTGCAGCTTGCTCGCTGCTGCTTGTGTGACGCTGTGGGCCCTACCTAGCACTTCAACCAGATCACCTCACTGTTTGAGTTTTCTCCCCTCTCACCCCTCCTGTCCCTGCCCACCCATCCCTCACCCTGAAAACCCCACTTTGAGTTTTGGTTTCTGCCTCTCTTCCTGCCTGGGGGAGAGGCTGTCTCCTGGTTGCTTTGATGGTTTTTCAGTTGGTTTGATTTTTTTTTTTTTGCCATGTGAATCGGGGTTTGAAGCGGCCATCCCCTCCTGACCTGCCACCACCATCCCCCACCCCTGCCACCCAACCCTCCTGACCCCACTCACCCACACGGGTTTCCCCTGCTGGGACCCTCCCGGCTACTCGGTGACCAGAAGCGCTGGGGACCAGAGCCAGCTGGAGCGTGCTGAGGACCAAGGCTGGTGTTGCCCCTTATAACCCGCCTGGACCCTCCTTTCAGGTCGGTAATTTGGGGCGGGGGTCCCGCGGGGCCTGTCCGTCCCATGGGCTCTGTGCCCCCTTTATTTCCTAATGTGCACCTCAGGCCTGCAGCCAAGGGGTGGAGGAACAAAGCGGGGGGCGACCGCCCAAAACGAGGGTGCAAAACACAGCATCGGCCGGCCGCCATCCCCTCTGGGTCGGAGGGTGCGGGGGGGGGGTGAGAGCCACCTCCTGCCTACAGCACCCTCCCTTGCAGACTCTGGCAAACCAACCCACTTCCTGAAGGACATAGAAACCAAGGGGCCGAGAGGCCAGTGGGCAGCACAGCTGCTTGACATCTGTGTAATAACGGGAGCTGCCATTTAACTCCCAGCGGCTGGGCGTCTAACTGATAGCCACCAGCCTTTTCACTGGCAGTGGCTGGCCATCTGCCCTATAGCAATTGGCCATTTAACCTATAGAGGCTGGCCATTTAACTGATAGCTACTGACCATTCAGCTGATAGTGACTGGCCACGTCAGGGATGATGAGCATTAAAATGACTTGTGGTCCTATCCAGCATTTAAGGCCACAGTCACAGCCCTGGATAGAAAGTTATTATTCAGATTGTCTGTGGCCTCTGTTCTGGAAGCTGAGGTCCCTCCCACGCAGCAGTGCCCTCAACATAAACTAGGATTGGGTCAGGAATGGGCAGGACCTCTGGAACCAGACATCGGAGCCCTGTAGGCTCTGGACTCTGCCCCTTTGGGGTTCCACACATTTGCATAGGACCTGAGTGTGGCAGCCATGACTGGGTCCCCGGAAAGGCGCACACATTTAAAGGAGCCCGGATGCTGAGAAAGGGACATTCAGCTGTCCTTGCTGCTCGTGTGCAAATGGCAGAGAGAGGGCAGAGATGGCGTTGAGGTTGGCAACTGCTCATTGTCGTTGGCTTTGTCACCTCTGGCACACTGTCTCCTCTGCAAACTGGGCTTTGTAGAGCAGGGTCAAATGAGACGAACGTGCAGCCAAGGTCTCCAGTTCCGGTGTCTGGCTTTGGACAGCTGTGAAGTAGCACATCTGAGTCTGCTATCCCAGCTGTCAGGAGGCTGAGGCTGGGCCATTGCAAGCAGATAGGTGTTGATCGATTGATGAACAGATAGATAATTGCTGTTGAGGCTGATAGACGGCAGCCGTGAGTGGCTAATAGGTAACCAATCAAATCTTCCGTCACTGGGGGTCTGGACAACAATGTTGGCAGCCACCTGCCTGTGCTGGGTGGACCCACTCCCTATGGGTCACACAAGGGGACTTAGACCGTGGGCCAAGGCCTCTGCCTCTGGGTTCTAGTGCACTGTGCCCCGAATGAGGTTCAGGGCCATCTAGAGAAGCAGGTTCTGAGTCTGGGTTGGTCTGCCCTGAGGAAGCCTTCTCTGGTGGCTCATGGCCCAGCCGAGGACCCTGGGTACCGGGTGGCGAGGCCGGATGCTGTGTTCTGCTGGTGGGGAGGGCCCGGGCATCTCCCTGGGGCAGCCACAGCCCTTCTCTGTTCAGACCCCGATTTTCAACCCATACCCATATTCCATGTTTCTCTTCTTGCTTTGAGTGTTGATTCCTTTCAGGGCACTTTTGTTTGGTCTTTAGATTTGTTTTGCTTTTTTATTTTTTTGAAATTTGTTGCCTCCTCACCCCTCCTAGTTTTGGTTTGGACGTCAAATGCCGTTTTCTGTCCTGGATTAATTAGCCTCTCCACACTCATTCCCATTCTGTTTCCATGACAACGCAGCCTCAGCATCTCCCACCCTGAGCCTCGCTGTGGATGCTGGTAGCAGGTGGCCAGCTGGACCCCAGTGCCGCCACCCCTGTTCCTCACCCTCCACCCAGCCCTGTCGGAACTGTGTCCCCCATCCCTGTCCCACCCCTCACCTCCAGCCTGCATGCCCCATGTCTTCCCTCCTCCTCCCCTCCATCCCATGTCCTCCATGACTCTGGACTTTTTGTGGGGCTACGTTTTCCGAAGGGCTCCAGCCTGCAGATGTTCACCCCCATCTTAGTGGCCCCTGTTCCCGCCTCCCTTGACTTCCACCTGGATTCTGAAAACAACCTGAGGTACCTGCCTAAAGGCCCAGACTGGCAGGAATGGCACAAGCTGGCTTCCCCCACCCCAGGCAGAGCAGAGTAACCTTTAACAGCAGTTAGTGATAAGTGACCTCTTTGAGGCTGTACCCCAGAACCGTGTGGCAGAGGCATGGCGACGGCCTTCACGTGTCTTCCTAGGTTGGGGTTAAGCCTGTCAGAGAGTCTTCACACACCTAAGGCCAAGCTCTCACCTCTTGTCTTCTTTGGGCTCTGGCTGGGTGTCAGTACTAGCCTCACCCCGGGGAGGAGGCTACTCTTCGAAGCTTGGGTCCCTGTGAGTGTCCCACGCCCACCTCAGAACCCACCCAGCTTCCGAAAACGGAGCCCTGGAAATGTCCTGCTGCCTTCCAAGCCCAAGAGGCCCCTGCAGAAGGTGGTATCCATCCCCACCCACTAAGGAACGCAACAAACATGCCCCTGTATCCAATGCTCCAACTCATCGGCCCCTTATTGTTAAGAATTCTCAACTATGAGTCATCAGTAACTATCCTATTTATGGTTGTGCCAGGGCTGATGTGGCAATTGCGTCGCATTGCGCCCCATTGGCTAGAGTACCATGCAGCACTGAAGTGGCTCCCTCCGCTGTCCCCATCTTCTCTCTCTCTCTCCTCATCTCTGCTCTCCCCCACCATCCTGAGACCCACACTTCCCTTCCATCAGTCTCTCTCTCTCCCTACCCTGTGCCTCCCTCTCGCTCGCTTTCTCTCTCTCTCTCTCTCTTTCTTTCTCTTTCTCTCTCTTCTGCATGATGTTTGTGACTTTTGAGAGCTGCATCTCTTGATGGAAACGTGTCCAATCCGACAGAAGCTTCAAGCTCTAGGAGGGTTTCTAACACCCCAAAACCACAAAAATTTCATTAGCATTTTTCTCATCTTTCCCTTGGGGGATCGGATCGGGAGGCCATGGGGTTCCCTGGTCCTTCCACCTCCTTATGATCAGGTTCTGTCCTCATTTCCCAGGAGGATAGCAAGCCTCATTCCCAGCCTCAGCCCTCGGCACCAGAGCCCTCTGGCACCTTCCGTGGTAGTTGCCCCTTCTTGGGTGGCCTTGCAGGGGGCCTCCGCCTAAGCCACATCTCTCCACAAAGATGAGAAACTGCCGATAAATTTTTGTGTGTCCTTCCGTGCTGCGATCAGCAACGGCGCTGGTCGGGGAAACCCTGTTGCTATGAGATACCGCTTCGTGTCCCACTCCAGTAGATCTATATTGTTTGTGAAGTTCCTACCTTTGAAGTTTCCTTTGTGTTGGAATTTGTTTTTATAATTTGTTTGGTTTAATTTTGTTGTTGTTCTGTTTTCATTTGGGGGAATGAATGACCTGGGGGCTGTAGTGGCCCTGTTTATATTTAAATGAATTTCTACCCTTTCCCCCCCTTTTTTTCTCTTTCCTCCTCCTCGTCCTGCCCTTTGCTCATTCTCCTGCCAAAACCGCCGCCTGCCCTCCCCAGTCCGCCGCGTGGCCCCCCGCTTCTCCATCCTGCCCATGAGCCACGAGATTATGCCCGGTGGGAACGTGAATATCACTTGTGTGGCCGTGGGCTCACCCATGCCCTACGTGAAGTGGATGCAGGGGGCCGAAGACCTGACGCCCGAGGATGACATGCCCGTGGGTCGGAATGTTCTAGAACTCACTGATGTCAAGGACTCAGCCAACTACACGTGTGTGGCCATGTCCAGCCTTGGTGTGATTGAGGCTGTGGCCCAGATCACTGTGAAGTGTAAGTCAGGACCGCAGTGGGGGCAGGGTGGATGTGGCACCCGCCTTCGTGGGGCTGAGAAGCAGCAGCTGTACCTGGCTAAAGGGTGTGAGACAAGCACTAGGGTGATCTCAGAACTTTGGAGCTGAAGCAGGAGGATCGGGTGCTCGAGGCTATCCTGGGCTACATAGCAAGCAGGGTCGGGTCCAGGAACGAAGTCGGTTTGGTGGGAAGAGTTAAAGTTAAACAGATGATTCCGACCCTGGGGTGAGGGCAGCCTGTGTCGAGACTAAAGACCCCATGACTTGAATTCTCAGTGAGAATCCAAGGCCAAGCTGAGCCCCCACTCTCCACTTACTTAGATGAAGTGTTTTGAGGTGGCCTCACACTCACTCATCTCGTCCCTGACAACATCGAGACTGTTTGGGAAAGCTGGATCCCAACACTGGACAAGTGTATGGTGAGCCTCAGTTACTGCAGCCCATTGGCGTGCTGAAGGTTAAATATGTAACTGCCAGGCCTGGTGGTGCGTGAGGTCTAAGGGTTGGGCATAAAGCCCTGGCTAATGGCAAAAAGAGATGGAGATGGCAGAGGTCTAGATGTCATGTGACCCACAGTGAGGAGGAGGAGGAGGAGGGACCTCATCTGCCGGAGGCTTTAGTGTTGCAGGGGTGAGGAAGAGCAGGTGTGGAGTGGGACTCAGGAAGCTCCGTATGCAGAGAGATGGGCCGGGTACACTGTCAGCTTCTCACAGGAGATAATGCTCCTTTATAAACATCGTCTGCTTTTGCAGACTGGAGCAGGACAGGGCCTTACTGTGTAGCCCAGGCTGGCTTCTCAAGACCTGAGGTGACAGGTGAACTCTAACATACCTACAAACACTGGGCTGGTGGCCTGTGTCTGTTATCCTCAGCTACATAGTGAGGTCGAGGCTAGCCTGGGCTACCTGAGGCCCTGTAATTTTGTTTTCTGAAGTAAATACTTTTTAACCTCATGTTAACGTCTGCTGTGTTCCCTCCTCTCTGGCATGGCGGTGTGACCGTCAGCCATTAGCAGTGCTGTGAGTGCTGACCTGAGGTCGGTGGGTGTTGGCCTGTGTGTTTGCTGATGAAGCTGAGGTTGGGGGGATGCACCCGAGTCACTGTGCCTCCCTCCTGCAGCTCTCCCCAAAGCCCCTGGGACTCCCGTGGTGACGGAGAACACTGCCACCAGTATCACCGTCACATGGGACTCAGGCAACCCCGATCCAGTGTCCTACTACGTGATTGAGTATAAGTCCAAAAGCCAGGATGGGCCGTATCAGATCAAAGAGGACATCACCACCACACGCTATAGCATCGGGGGCCTGAGCCCCAATTCCGAGTATGAGATCTGGGTGTCGGCTGTTAACTCCATCGGCCAGGGTCCTCCCAGCGAGTCAGTGGTAACCCGCACAGGCGAGCAGGCACCGGCCAGTGCTCCCAGGAACGTTCAGGCACGCATGCTCAGCGCTACCACCATGATAGTGCAGTGGGAGGAGCCGGTGGAGCCCAACGGTCTGATCCGTGGCTACCGCGTCTACTACACCATGGAACCCGAGCACCCGGTGGGCAACTGGCAGAAGCACAATGTGGATGACAGCCTGCTGACCACCGTGGGCAGCCTGCTGGAGGACGAGACCTACACCGTGCGCGTGCTGGCCTTCACCTCGGTGGGCGATGGGCCACTGTCAGACCCCATCCAGGTCAAGACGCAGCAGGGAGGTGAGGTCTGGGGAGCAGGTCCCACACACTGCTATTGCAGCATCCACTCCTAGACATAAGTGGTGCACACCCTGAATCCCATCACTGGGGGAGGGGGCAGAGGCAGGCAGAGCTGTAGGAGACAAGCCTGGGCTATATGGTGAGACACTGTGAAAATAAAAGAATTGATGAGAATAAATGCCCAGCCCCAGGCAATTTCTATTTGTCTTTTCCTTGGAATAATTAGAAAGGACGGCCCATCCTGAACCCTAGCTAACTCTAGGGGGTGGGGAGTGGGGTGGGGTGGGGGTGGGTGGGGGTGGGTGGGGGTGGACCCTCCCCCTCCCCTCCCCTCCGCTCCCCTCCCAGGAGTGGCTGGTTCGGGAAGTATCCTGAGCTGCTCAGGGAACAATGTCAGGAGCCTGGTTTGAGATGAGAGTTCCCTTGGTGAGTCAGGTAGCCCATGTGAGAGACTGACCGACCTTCCCCCGCCTTGTCCCCCCCTCCATGTGCTTTTCCCTCAGTGCCTGGCCAGCCCATGAACCTAAGGGCAGAGGCCAAGTCTGAGACTAGCATTGGGCTCTCGTGGAGCGCGCCGAGGCAGGAGAGTGTCATTAAGTATGAACTGCTCTTCCGGGAGGGCGACCGAGGCCGAGAGGTACCCGGGCTGGCTGGGCGGGAGATGACAGCTGGGTTGGGTGAGCCGCGCTGGCCTCCATGACCTCTGGTCAGCTCTGTCTCCCCACTTCTCGCGGATCTCTGCCTCTCTCCGTCCCTCTGCCCTGCATCTCCCACCCACTCCCACCCCATCTGTTCTCAGGTGGGGCGCACCTTCGACCCAACCACAGCCTTTGTGGTGGAGGACCTCAAGCCCAACACGGAGTATGCATTCCGGCTGGCGGCGCGCTCGCCGCAGGGCCTGGGCGCCTTCACCGCGGTCGTGCGCCAGCGCACGCTGCAGGCCAGTACGTGTCTCTTGGCACCTTGTCCTTGGGGAGGGGGGAGCACAGTGGCCACTGACCTGGCCTGAGCCCCTGGGCGGGGGTGGGGGTGCCTCCCGCCTGGCCTGCCTCAGCCTTGGCCATGTCTGCCTGCCATGCCTCAGTTTCCCCACAGCAGGGTGGGTCTCCCCATGGGGATGAGACCAGCACAGAATGGCCACTCAGCCACTGGTTCCTTTCTACTCTCCCCAAATGTGGAACCAGTCTGTCCCCAGGAAGTCCCTACAGGGCCCCAAGGCTGTCACCCGAGGATATAGCATGACAACCTCTATCAGGTCCTCCAAAGGGACAGGGCTCTAGAAGCCTTCATACAGGGTCCCTGGTTCCTAAAGCAGTTTGTTGTGCCTGCCTGGCCCCTTGTCACAGAAGAGTCACCTGTGACTAGGTTGCTGTCTCTGGGCCACATGGTGGCCCTACTGTCCCCACTGCCATTCCCACCTCTCAGCTCGGCTGGCATAGCCCCTGCTACTGTAGCCTCTTGCACTTTCCCTGCTCCCTTAGCCACCAGACACGGTTCTGGAAGCATCTGCCTCGCAGTGCCCTCACTCCCCATGTGTGCATTTGGTCTCGGGTCCTTCGAACGTGTTATAGACTGGGGCCAGGGTTTCTCTAGGGGCAGGGGCTGTGGAGACCCGGTCCCCCTGCCAGCCTCCTCCCCCCCCCCCCGCGGAGCCCCAGATGGCTCTGAGGCGGTGATCAGGTGGAGGTCAGTGAGGGTGGCCTGGGGCCTGGGGTCACCAAGCGGCCGGTAGAGGTGGCCCACAGGTGAGTATCAGCCGGTCTCAAGCGACTCACAAACACAGCCCACCCTGCATGTCACCCCTGCCTCCCTGGGCCACACACATGGCCCAGAGGAAACTCCAAATAACTCTGACTGGACATCACACACACTTGTCCAGCTTCTGGCATATGTCCTCTCCTGAGATACCATGCAGGTTGGGCTGGATTGTGAAGGTCGTGACCTCCGAGGTCACCCAGAAAGCATCTTCGGCCCAGCCATGTGCCTTCCAGGGCGGCCCAGGACAGGGAGTGGGGGAGCGGGCTCCCCACTTCTCACCCCGAGACCCAGGGCCAGGCGTGTCCCCAGGGCTGTGGGCTCATTAGGCCCTGTCAAGGGTAGGTGCAGGTCTGCCCGCTGGCCACTCCGGGTGTCCCCAGACCCCGCCATCCCCTACCAGCCGGGAGCTGCAGAGTGGCTCTCCCGGCCGTGGGCCATCAAGAGCTCATAGCCTTGTAGCCGGCGCCGTTCCCTCTCGTAAGAAAGTCTGTTAAGTTAGCGCTTGAAGGAGTAGAAGGTAGGTAAAGACCAGGCGTCTCTGCGAGGCGTCTGTCTGTCTGTCTGTCTTTCTTTTATGATTTTTTTCCATCATTGCCACCATCACCTTCACTCTGGTTTTATTATTTTGGTTTGGTTTTATCGCTTTGTCTTCTCCCGTTCACAGCGGAAGAACCTTTCCAGTGCATACCCAGTGGCTTATTTTGTTTCCATCATCCCTGCCTGACTCACCCCCCCGCCCCGGGCACTTTGAATTGGGGTGACTGGTCAAGAAATGGGCCCCGCTCCATCCCATGGCTACTGTTCAGTGTTCAGGAAGGGGACCTGGAGGTTGTTCCAAGGCCCACCGCAGCCACCATCTCTGAAGATGAAGCGTGATTGATTCTAGGTCCTAACACGGTCAGGGGATGCACACAGCAACACTGACTAGATGCCAGCCTGAGGTATGGCAGGTGGCCCTGCCAGCAGGGGCAGATCCATGAGCTGTCTCTCTGCCACCTGCATAGACTGAGGTCTAAGGTCCCCAGCTCAAAGTCAGGCCACCATAACTGACAGCTGAGCCTAGGTCCGAACTGTACCGTCTGAGTGGTCTCTGAGTCGGCACCTGCTCTCCCAAAGACTGCGGGTCACTGCCTGCAGATGAGATGTGCCCCTGGGCTTCCAGGAGGATTCAGAGTCTGACACCTGTAGGTGTACAGTGATCCCAGCAGCTAGGTTTCCATCTGTGGCCTGAGGCAGGGTTCAGAGGTGATGACTGAGTGTCTGTGAGTCTGGTGTGGGAGCCTTCACCATGCCCAGGAGACAAGGCCACAGAGAGCCAATGTCAGGCGCACAGTAGGTGCATGGCGTGTGTTATCAGTCATTCCCACAGACTGGCCTCTGGCTTGTGCTAGCGCTGCAAGTGTTCCCCAGGGCCTTTGAGGCACACAGTGGCCTTCCACTGTGAGCAGAGTCCTGATGTCCTGCCCAGTGCATAGTAGGTGCTCCTTTAGGGTTGTTTGAAGTTGAAATACAGATCAGGATATAATCATAAATGAAAGCTATCAGCCATCAGAGACAAGCTGGATCTGAAGCTGGGTGCATCGTAGGTCCCACACATCGGGTTCTGACAGTTTGCAAGCCTCTTCATACACAGTAAGCTCTCGCTCCCATTTGCTGTGAAGACATTGGCTTGAAGCCAGGTGGTGGTGGCGCATGCTTTTAATCCCAGCAGAGGCAGGCAGATCTCTGTGAGTTCAAGGCCAGTCTGGTCTACAAGAGCGAGTTCCAGGACAGGCACCAAAGCTACAGAGAAACCCTGTCTCAAAAAACAAACACATTGGGGCTGGAGAGATGGTTAAGAGCATTGCCTGCTCTTCCAAAGGTCCTGAGTTCAATTCCCAGCAACCACATGGTGGCTC